TTTTATGTCTCATACAAGTTCCATGTCACAAGTATATCATCACGCATTTGATGAGCATAGGACATGGCCGCGACGTTCCTAGCCTCTGTCGGCCAAGCATGTTGCGAGCTTACGTCCAATGCTCTACAAATGTTTGATAGTACCATAGCACTTGTGACCTCCATGTGTAAGCCTTAGGTGCTACAATTTCACTCCAAGAGAGTTCTTATATTCATTCATTTCTAAATATCAAATCACCCTAGGACAATTTATATATTTGATTTATTTTTTAAATCAAATCACTTCAAAATGGTTCGTGTATTTGATTTATTTCCAAATTCGAATCACCCATAAATGGTTCGTTTCTCTAAGTTTGTCATTTTTTATACATCTCTTCTTTACAAACTCACTAAGTCAAGATGTTCAAAGGCTTGTCTTTTTACATTTTTGACGCATAAGCATTGTAAAGAAGAATCAACTGTCATCAACCTATTTTTACTCCCAGTAAAAATAGAAAAAAATAAATAAAATTTAAAAAAAATAGAAAAATATTAGTTTTGGGCTAGGTACTAGGCATTGGGTTAGGCCTCGATTAATAATAAAAGAGGAAAAAAAATCTTAGGGTAACCGTATAAGCACTTTTATAAATACTATGCATACACACGCATAAAAGATGAGGAGACGACCACATAGGAGAGGAAAAAAACTTAATAATAAAAAAAAAAACCCAAAGAGACTAACATACACCTAAAAAGCTAAAGACAATAGGCGAAGTTCACGAGTGGCGTCGTTCCTCCGGTCGATGGAATCGGACATACACCATACCACCATAACCGAAAGGAAGAGACAAAACCGACTCCATTGGTCCGCCATCCATCCGATGTCTTATGCTCCCTCACATGTGAGAGTAGCCGAAACAACACCTTGAGCTTGCACTACATGCGCCAAGTCTTTCTCCTTCTCCTTGTTTTGCTTATGTTTAATTCAATCCCTAAACTTCGATGTCACAATTATATCCCTATGCTTGAACATTTTTTTGTTTAATTTTCATCCGAATTTTTATGGATTGCATGATTGTATTATTCATTTATATTTTGTAATATCAAATATGTGATTAACATATGATTGGTATGATTAATTGAATTAAAATTGTTTAATTTGGGTTGAACCGAAAACATTTAAATTGAGAGCGATTATTGTTATTTGATAGATTTAAAATGATACTAATTCAATTTTTTTTATGTGTATGTGTGATTTTATTAGGGTAGGAAATGTTTAATATTTTTTAGGGTTTGTCTTATTCTTATCTATTTTTGTATATGCGTATTGTTACTATTTTTTAAAAAGAAGGGGTTTAAAGGTGATATCTTGCGTATTATTTTCCATATAAAAAGTCTTTGAGGAATTTTTGGTCGGTGATGAAGCTAGCAATAGGCTAGCAATTGTTTTTTTAGAAAATTAAAATAAATCAAATCTGAATTTATAGATTAAGGACCTTGTAAATGCATATTGGCTATTTTATTTTTCATGAAGTCATTTTTATGTGATTTTTTATTTTTTACATATTGTTATGTCTTGCACTTTGTGTGTTTATTTAATATGATGTCGGTTTAGTTTAGTCTAGATAAAGTAGGTTCAAGACTTGAGACTCATTGTATTCTAATGACGTGTCTTTTTCTTATTAGTTATTTTACTTTTATTTTTATTGTTATTTTTTATAGTTAATTTTAATTATTTTTTATGGTGCTACAAATTTTTTTTTTATAGATTTAGCTTCGAATTTGGGTTTTGGGACCCAATTTAATATTTTAAAATGTCTTTGCGGGGTGATATAGGCTAGGTCCCAAGTCCATTTGTTAAGTTACTATGGGTTTGTAATTTTATTTTGTTTTTATTTTTTATGGTTTGGCAGGTGAATTTGGGATTGGGCTTATGTTTATTTTACTTTTATTTTTGCATTTTTTTGACACTAGGAGTTAATGTGCCTCTTTTAGCCCTAATTTTTACCTTCTCGAATAGGCTTCAATGATCCAGGTGACATATTAAGTGAGAGACCGAGTTTTCATTCGGCCTCTAAATCACCTCCTTTAAGAATTGATTAGAAATGGCCCAAATAATCAAACACGTAAAAATTAAGATAGAAAAGGTAATTTACATGAATGAATTTCCCTAAACTAGAAATACAAGGCAACCTCATATCGAGAGCACATTATGGTGGCTTTAGTCTTCCTCAATTGTGTAATCAACTCCCTTACTTAGAAATGTTGAGACGAGTGCTACGTTTTTCTTTGTTTTCATATTTTGAAAACTAAGTGGCAACTTCACACCTATATATATATATATTGTGATCACCAAGAAATCACCATATGACATCTCGCTAACTCATATTCTCCCCCATAAATAAAATAATATTTCCCTTCTCCTCACGCATGTTTCTTTCTCGTATCTTCATTTTTTAATGCATTTAAAATAATAATTTTTCTCACTTTCTATTTTGTTTAGTGAGACAATACGAGATGCAATTAACAAGAAAAAAAAAGACAAATGAACAATAATTTACTATTCATTACTATTTATTGTATGTCATTTCACTGTGGACTAAGTGGTCGTATTGTGATTTTGGATAGTGGAATTTTGGTGATTTTCAAGCTCCTTTTTTTATGCATTTAATATGGAATTTCTTCAAATATTGCACTTTGATCTCTAATTTTTTTCTAACCACCTTTGTTTCGATTCTAAACTTCATTTGTATCAAGTTTTGGTCTCTATTTGTAGAGACAAAAATAACTTTTTTCAATCATTTAATATGCAATTTTTTCAAATACTTTATTCACTTTTGTTTCAATTTCGAACTTTATTCGAGTCAACATTTGATCCCTAGTTGTAGGGAAAAAAATTATTATTCATTGCCTCAAATTATTATTATTATTATTATTATTATTTAAAGTCTTGACTACGTAAGCTTGGTTTTTATTTTCTTTAGCTTTTGATTTTTTAATTAATTAATTAATTTTTATTTTTATTATTATGAATTATTAGGCAAATAATATAGATGATCAACTATTATTTTTGGTGTTTTTCAGACGACCTGGAGAAATATATATACATATATATTATTTAAAATTTATTTCTTCAATTTGTCTTCTTCTTTTTTATGAAAATTTTAATCCAATTAATTTTTTAATAAAATTTATTTACATACAAATTTGATTTTTTTTTTATCTACTTGTAGATTTTGAAATAAAAGTTTAGAACATGATTATTTTCTCTTTTAAAAAAATATAAATGATGTAATTTATATAATGGATTTAAAAAAAAAAATCATAGCTCTACAAGTGAGGCATGTATGACTTAGAAATAAAAAATTAAGAAAGAGAAGGAAAAGAAAAGGAATTCATGTGCTTTAATTGTTGTTTCTTTATATAATCAAAATTTATTGAAATTAATTTTGAAATAGTTTTTATTTTAACCTATTAACTTCAAATTTATGTAATATATTACTTACAAGTTAACTATTTTTTTTTATTTTTTTGTTTTGTTTTTCAAACACTAAATTCAATCAATATAGTTATTATGCAATATATATATATATATATATATATATATATATATATATATATATTGAATTATTGGTTTTATTAAAAATTCACTATATAACAACACAAAACATAGACTATTTATTATTTATTTATTTATTTTTAAATATTTTAGAATTGATTTATTTCAAATTAAATAATTAAAATTATGCTTTTACTAAACCATCTAATTATTCAAATACAGTTTTCTATTTTAATATTATTGATAATTTTATAAATAAATATATTAAAATCAAATGTACAGACTTTCAAAAGTTAATTTTGTCATCAATATGAAATAAGAACAAAAAATATATATATATATATTTATTTATTTATATTCAAGTTCTTACATCAGTTGTACTTTGTTTGAACAACACAAACTTATAAAAAATATTATGGCTTTTTTTTATATTTCGTATTAAATTTTCCTTTTAGATCATTACAAATTTTAAATTAAGAATAAATGGATAAAAAAGAATAAATCATGTTTTTTGGATACAAAAATTATGATAAAAACATGGGAAAGAATTAATTAAATATAAATTTTTGATCAAAAAATTATAAAATTGAATGAAAAATTCTTTTACCTTTGGTTTTATATATTTTTGTTGACATATAGTATAACACGAACCATTAAACTGGAATGATTTTTAACATTATTTCACATATTCTGCCTGACCTAGTAACATCTATTTGATCTGTCCATGTCTTGGTCTTTACTGCGGTTTCTTCATATTTTATAAAAATGATCAAGTATCTCTAACCAAGTTGTAAAAAAAAAAAAAAAAACAATCTCTTTATTTTTTAGTTAAAATTGTAAGTACAAGTAATTTCTCTTCTATATTAAATATAACAGAAATATTCTGTTTGTGCCATATTTAGTTAAAATGAATCAACAGCACCTCGTCAAAATTCTGCATGCTGCCACCGAGTCCCAGTTATATGGGCACGAAGTCCCTTGAGTTTTCTAATGAACAAAAATGTATTAAGGAAAGGACAAGTTAAGAGAATCATCAAACAAGCTACTCCGATAACGGGGAAGTACTGTTTCTTGGGAATAAACCATTTCCTCCCTTACTTTCGCCAAAATCTTGCTCCTGACAAAAAAAAAAAAAAAAACTGGATTACGATCCAGAAAAGGTTCTACATGCATAATCACTGCATAACAACGCTAATTTGCATGGCATAATCTTTTACTCAGATTAATGTTCTTCATTTAAGAGACATGACCAAAACTCGTAATGCCATCACATGCAAAATCTTACCTGAAGACTGTACTCTAGTCACATTTGATAGACCCGTATATGCAACGGACAAAAAGCAAGGAGGTAAAGAAACCAAGCGTCCCAAGCATAAGAAAGATAGCGTAGCAGATGCAAAACAAGTACCCGAAGAAGAAAGATAATTGCAAGAAACCAGATGAGAATGATTGAGAATAAAATTTTAGGCAATAGCCATAAAGGTATAATCCAACTGATCCAACACAGAGGAATGACCTGCAATGTCAATAGCTCAAATCAGTCCACAGAACTATTCAGCTCAAACTAGAGCGCAGCAATTGCAATGGCTGCCTAAAAGACAAACAGCAAACTTAATTACAGAAGATAGCAAAGATATAATACACCAAGAGATCATGTGAGGGAGGGATTTGGGAGATTGTTAATTAATATCCATGTTGATCCAAATACAAAGGAAGCTTAAGGCATCAGTTGCCTTCAAGCAAAAGAATGCAATGGTGCACTAAAATACAGCACAAAAAGCAAAAGATCATAACAAATTAGGAGTCCAGAAATTGAAAAAAAATGAAGTTTCCGAGCCGAGTACCAAAGGAAAATATTTAAGCACTCAATAGGCTTAAAATGCAAGGTTGGAACCTCTTCTGCAAGGAGAAGAATAAATGTCGCAAATTGGTTTTACATATATAGCAAATTTGTTAGTGACTCATGCATTTGGTCCACAAATGACTTTCAGACAGCAATTCACAGTTTAAGACCCTTGCATTATGAAGTGATGGATTAGCGTGCTGCTTGCATCGGACAGCTAAGCTAGAAACATAAATTCCAACGAATACAAACTTGTGTGGAAGAATTCATTATTTTGACAGGTTCAGATTACGTAATACATAGAAATATCAGTCTTCATCAAGACAATGCAAAACATGAAGGTTCCACTTTGGTTTCCGGTAAATTCTGCAGGTTTTACGCTTATATACATCAAATCAAATCCTGCCCTTACTAGGGTAGGGTTAGGGGGCTTTATGGCTAGTGGACCAAAAGGTAGTAAGCTCCAAAGATAAATTGTCCTGCCTCAAAAACTGAATATAAAAAGAAAAGTTCTTTTGCTTTCCCCACCACTTTTTGACACTCCACTTCCATATCCCAAAATTTATATCGAAGGCATGCTTCTGTCATGTTCAGAAGGATCTTCAGGAGAAGTTGAAAACAGTTGCAGGATTGCCAAACAGGTGTTTTTTACTTGGCTAAATTTACAGATCTCATACAAGATTTGAAGCCTCCAAAAAGTTTGTGCTGCTATTCACAGCTTTTAGTCTGGTCTTGGCTTCTGTCCTTGTTATGAATGATGAGGTCTTAATGTGTGTGTGTCCGATGGCAGTAAGAAAAATAAGATGTGGAATAGGGAAAATAAATTACGGAAAATGATCAAATGGGGAGAATCAGTTTCCTGTTCAGTCTCAAAGAAAACAAGTAAACCATTGCATTATTTTTCCAGATAAAAAAGAGAAGAAAAATAAATAGGAACTTTCTTAAATGGTTGTAGAAATAAAATCATTTTGATCAAACTACTGGGTAGTGGTTGTGTGACGAGTTCAAATACCCACCCTCATTCTCTCTTCTAATGTAAAATTTGATAGCACAATTTAATAGGACAAGGTAGTGGTTGTGTGACGTTGTATATAAGGGTGCTTTAGAGGAATTCTGGATGGAAATTTCCATTGATATTTTCAACACAATAATAGAAAAAAAGTATTTATATCCCAGAAGCAGGATATAGCAAAGATAAGGACTATATCAATGAAGCATGCAAATGGATCCATATATCAAAAGAGGTCAGTAACTGCAGAAACAGCTGATGTACAATTGCTAAAAACCTTGAATGATAACTTGAAATATGTATTATGTAAGCAGACTGTAATCCTGTTATGCTAGACTCGGTCTCTCACTGTTATGCAACTTAGCACCGAGAAACTTACTCTACAATTCTTACTTTTAGTGGACTCATGAATTGAAAAGTTGAAGCTGCAGTCGGTCTTAGCCATAGGAAGAATTCATTTTGCAATTGAGAAACACACTGCAGAGAAGGGGATAAAGGTAGTAGGAGTAAAACCAAATTGAAATCACAACAAACTAGAACCTTGGAACGTCTTTCATGCAATGCAATTTAAAATGGTAAAGCATAAAGAACTTGTGTACCTCCACCACCATCGGTAGTCTTCAGCAGCCAGCTGAAAGTAGGTCAAAACCACCGTAACCAAGGCAGTGGTAATCAGCAGAAGTGTGAAGAGAAGACACAGGAAGCCATATGAGGAGTAGATATTGTGGCCCCAAGAACTATCATATATGTGGTGCAACTCATTGAGAATCACACCAAAAGGAAGAAACCCTGCCAATAACATCTGAGGTACACAACCCCTATACCAACGCAATGGCGGAATAGGTTTTGGACACTTTGTGGTGCGGCATGGAGCCTGAAAATGGGCTTTGCAATTTTTCCCGGCAATCCCACCCACTATGAGCGATGGTAATGCAACTAACATCCATATAAGAAAGATGAACACGATAGTGCTAGAGGGAAATGCCGCAGTTGCTTTGTAAACGATTGCAACTTTATTAAGGATGCAGAATCTGGCAAACAAAGGCCCACAAAAAAGAAGTCCTGTAAGTAACAGATTGCTCACCTGTTCAGAGATTGGAAAAACCTAATGAGTTCGCTAGGCCATGCTATGACATGCATCAAATTCAAATACTGTAATGGACATTTTATTATCAGAGTTTACCCATTCTGTCCCTTCAAGCTGACCATAGAAATAGGCTGATGTATATCCTGCAACTGCTGACGTAAGTGCATAAATGACCAATAGTGCAATAAACAGGTATCCTTGCTCGTATGGATGAAAAGCACCAGCCGTTCCTAGTACCAAGACCAGTATTGTTCTGAAAATTTATGGGAGACAAAAGTTGCAGCACTAGAAATGAAGTAATATCAAGGTACATTATTTGAGCTTGATGATGTAACATAAAATAACCAGATAATTTGCAGCTAATTTAATCTAGTTAGAGAATACAGGGTGGATAATTTCAAAGCACAGACATACAGGGTAAACAACTGAGTTCCAGAACCAATGGCCGCAGCAAACAATGACTTGTGGTATGGGTATCGAAACACATCACCATGGATGAACTTCCATCCCGTTTGGTCTATGTTGTCAGCTAACTTCTTATTATGGAAACTCCTGCCAAACAGTTTAATAAGCTGGAAAAACAATGAATTCTAAAAAAGAAAAAAAAAACCATTTGAATTTTGGATAGACATCACAGATCACAATATTCTTACTCAAGATCTTTCTTAAGGACTCGCATATAATATATCACAAGCCAACCTGTTAGGAAGAGAATAGTAACACATGAATTTAAGATTGAAAACCAACGGAAGTTCAAGATATGTGGCAGTGAAAAATAACTTAAGTACTTCTGCATCCTTTCCTCAAAAGGGCTGCTAGTTTCCTTCCATGTCACAGTATATTTCAATTTCATGTGAACTTCCCTTTCCTCAGTCACTTCCACGCAACTAGAAGGGTTAGTTTGAGCAGAGATCTCGATCAGATGTTCCTTGTTGTAATATATATTAAAATCCATATGCATGCAGAGAAAATATTTTTTCTTGTTGAGTCAGTTCTTCCTATAAATGCCCAGATCGGCATGTCATCACAGTGCATTTTAATGTAATAGTCTTTCGCAACTGCGTCTTGGAACTTAGACACTTCTTCCTTTGTCAAGTTCTTTTCACATACAACTTCAGAATCTTTATTTACTAAGAATTCAAGCTTATATGGAGCATTGAAAAATTGATGCCCAGCCAATATGTCACGTAAAGTTTGCTTCTTCTCATTGACAAAACCTGTCATTAGGATAGACCAACCAATTAGAATAGACACCAATACATGCTTAAAGTGACAAAAGATAAGGTAAAAACTAAAGAACATTAGTGCAGATGAAGATGAAACCTGGGCGACAGAATGGAAGATCGTAGTAGCCATATATTTCACTGCATGATAAAAGTGAAGAAATGCAAGTTGCTATCAGCAAATATAAACCAAGACAATCTAATTAAATGTGAAACAAGCAAAGATATGCAAGGAAGAGTCAATCCAACAAGTCCATCAGAAAGACAAGCAAATAATGGCAAAATATTGTATAAGAATTCTACCTCACAACGTATGTGCCAGCATGAGATCAAAAAGATTCCGCCAAATAAAATGGATGATTAATTACTTAAGGAAAAAAAAAAAAGCGTAAATTCTATAGAATAGAATATCATGATATACATAGAAAAACAAATTCCGTTTTTTTTTCAAAAAAAAAAAAAAAATTATTGAATACATATTTGATATTCAACTATGAAAAGAAAGATGGAACGTCCTAATTTACTAACCATTGACTCAAACCAATATTCACAAATAAAATGTATGAATAAAAGCTCAAAGTAAATTAAATGGTTAAGTTCTGGAACAGTAGGGATCCAAATTAAGGACATACGACAACAGACAATTACACATATGGAGAACAAATACGTAGTACATGCAGAATAAGTAAAACACAGGCAATTAAAATTTCTTGATGTAGAGAATGAGACATGTACCTGGGATTGTAAAGTGGACCAGTTCTACTCACATAGCAAGGGATCAGATCTCCAGCTTTATAGCGATGATCAGATGCAACTGATTGAACATGACTCCCGCAACTTATTACAAAAGCAGCAGCAGCAAGAATCACCACGAATTCTCCCATTTTTCCTTCGCTAGAAATAGAAAATACTAATATGAATCTAATATAACAGTTTAAAACATAAAGTGAAAACTCCATCCACTAGTGAAACTGGAGATGATGATAATTGGAAGAGGTGAAAGAAGAGTACATTGTTGATGTTGCAACATTGACCACTAAAGTGTTGCAATGCTACTGCATGTATGGAAGAGGTAGAGAAGACGGGACATTGGAAGTAGACAAAACAATGGGAAAATCATGCTAGTGGTAGTAAAAGAAGCAAGATGATACTACATGTAACAGCGTTTGGCGGAACGGACTGGTGGTCAGGGTACAGTGTGTTCTGACAATATGACAACAAAAGACCATGTTGCATTAGAATGTCAGTAAAAATGGAGCTGGTAATGGTATGGTTGCAAGTTGGTCATGGAGAAGGCGGCGATAGCACGGCAGAGATTGTGGACCAAATTCGAAACAGTTTGCTCCGGAATTGGTTTACAGAAATAACAAGATCTTGTGAGTATATTTTAGCACCAACAAAAAGGGTCTTGTGGGTATTATGAGCTGCTACAAATTGCCGCAACCAAATATAAATCCTATCTCTGTCCTGCTCTTACTTCCCTCTCTTTGTTTCCACTTTACTAACCGCTAAACTTATTGCTTGAAGCTTAAATATAAAGGGAACATTCATGGATTTGAAACGACGTTGAAGAATCAAATAGAATAAACAAAAAATGAAAAAAAATCCGTGCTTCCATCCCTACTTTTTTGCCTCGTTCAGTTTCTATTCTTTGATTTGCTTCGAATTAAACCAAACACAATGCAAATGGGCCAGTTTTTAGAGAGTTCGAAATCTTCAGTTTAACATAACCTTTAAATGTAATACGAAAAAGTAATTTCAACCCAATTTAACTGAAGTCATTGTCAACTTATAATCATTCATATCATGTCTTGTAAAAACTAGAAATTATCTATTCAACCCCAGAAAATATGGCATTTTACATGAGAAGTAAACTAAATATATATGAACCAACGAAAGATAAGCAAAGAGAAATACATAATAATAATAATAATAATAATGTTAATCTAATTCAAGAAATCTATTCGACTAAAAAAGAAAAAAGAAACCTATGATCCAGTAAGTTTAAATCCAGACATTGTTTCCATTGATTTTTCATCAAACAAACGATACAAAAAATTGGTAGCAGAATGTAGTAACAAATAAAGAGAGGAAACATACCTTCAGAGACAGAGAGTGTGTTGTTCTACTTATATGATCAGAAATAGCAAGGCAAATGATGGAAGTGAAATGGAAATGGAAGACCATTCTCGTGCTCCTCTGCTCCATCATTAATGGATCTCAGACTCAGAATTCGAGGTTGACTTTGTTGATTAACAAATATATTTATTATAATAACTAATATAATATAATTGGAAGGAAAGGAAAACAGAGAGTGCTTATTAACTGAGATAGAAATAACTAAATATGTCCAGATAGATGTATAATTGTGCCACTTAATTATTTCGGAGAATGGCTACAGCTTCCAGGAGGACAAATACAATATTCTGTCAAGAGAACTTTTATAACATATAATGAATATGATTTCTACTAACAAAAACACGTGAAAAAATATGATTACATGTCTACTTCTGATCCATGCTTTTTTTTTTCCATCTTCAGATCAACTTTTATGTTAATTGGGAATAAATCTTTTCTTTTTTCAATATTTTTTAAAAATAAATTTCCATATTCTCACATGTCACATGATGTATTTAAGAAAATAATTTCTCCTTGATATTTAGTCTAAGATTCAAACTCATGAAGTTTTTTTTTAAAAAAAAAAACAAACAAACTTTTTGTTTATCAAATCAATCCTCAAACTCCCCAAAAGTGATGCTTTTCTAGTCTCTCCTAGTGTTCGATTTCACCATTGGGTCTTGATTTCAAATCTTATAATTCATCAAGAACTCCTCGCCTAAAATTTTATTTTATTTTAAGTTGAAGGATATGAACATATTTTACCAATAATACATTAAGGTATAACAAGTAATATTTATTAAATCTAAATTATTAAATTCAAATTGTAACTAAATTAATGTCCGTGCTACGCTACGAGTAAATATAATGTTGAATGATAAACTATTCTGTCTTATTTTTGCAAGAATCCAAAAATATGGGAATTCCTTAAAACTCTTAATTTGTGTTATATGCTTGTTTTCGTAATATATTGTTGTTGGCGAAGAAAAAATGACAAATAATTGAGCAATTGTGGATGAAATTTGTTTCATCAAACAACTCTAGGTAAGTGTCTTTTGAAAAAAAAAAAAAGCTTTAGAGATTAATTCTAAAAATATGTATAATGTTTGTTGACCATCTTGTCAAAAACCAAGAAGCAAAGCACTAAATTCTTGAGTTCATACAACATTATTTCATAGAAGCTCCGACAATTATTTAATAAGATTCTGGTAATGAAGGTGGACTAAGGCTAAAGCAAACGTTGAATATCGGTTATCAAAAATCATTTAATTTAAATAAGCATCATCATATAAGTAATAGAACCATACGAAAAGTTGGGTCTTTAATTTAAAGTAATTCTACAAGGTGCAATTAACTAATTCAAAATTTCAAATAGAGAGTCAATTCATCTTAAATACGTACTAAACGAGATAATACTTATGTTTTTTCTCTTTATAGATAATCTATGTATAAGGTTAAAAAAAAAAAAAGATGACATAAAAAGAACTAAACTAAGTTGGGAAAGCAAAATAGGACTCGCATCAATTAAAAGTAAAATAGTTTTAAAGAGCAATCAAGAAGAGGATTGCTATAAACAAAACCAAAAAAAAAAAAAAAAGAAACACATAAATACGGATAACATCAAATAGAAGAGAGGTAAAGGGAAGGATAAAGTTGGATTGATGATCATCAATAATTTTGCATTATTACTTGTTAGCTCATATACATGGATACATGGATGTCTTTTTCTATCCATCATGTCTAAAGCTAGGCAACAAAGAACTAAATTTTATCATCATCCAACATGGTTTCCTAAAAGTTATCATAGTTATTTAATAAGTTTATGGTGACGAAGCTAAACAAAGGTTAAACCAAGCATCGAATGTTTCTCCAAAACAATCATAAAATATGGTTTATTAGGCAGGGATTATAAGTCGAATTAACAAGCGAGGCGATTTTGAAAATAAAGAAATGGCAAGTGTAAGAATAATTGTTCGCTAGGGAATACGAAATAAATTTTTTTATATATAATGAAGAAAGAAGGTGACAAAAAAAGGATGACTACCTAGGAACGAGCAAAAGACAACGACAACAACTAAATCTAAAAAAATTGACAAAACAAGTAGAAATAGAAACAATATCAATAAAATAACGAAGAAAAGGAAACCATAAATGCGAGCAACATGATTGTAGGCAAAAGAAATATGAGTTAATAAACATAGGCTCAAGTATAGGGAAAAACAAAAAACAATAGAAATTTAAAAACGAGTAAGCACTATTTAAGCCGAGCTAATTAAAGAAACAAAATAAAATTCAAGCACATCACAAACTTAAGGCCAAACTTCAATAATAATTTTTTGTTTTAACTTGTAAGGAAACATATATTCAAGTTTGTTTGTTTTTTACAATTTGTCAAAAGATTGATAGTGAAAACACCAGATTATAGAGGCCATGGAGTATGGTTTCTTGTAATGGAGTTGAACGAAACCAAAAGGAAGCATCACGTGGTATGTGAAATAAATTTGCATAGTATGGTTTATTAAGAAAAAATTATAAGGCAAACCAACAAGTAGTACAAATTTGAAAAAAAAAGCAATATAATTAACAATATTTACCGGTCGTGCAATAGAAAATAGAAAAAACATGATTGAAAAAAAAATCAATTAAGAAACATAGGTTGAGGCAAGAGTTAAAATTTGTAAAAAAGATTCATAGCCAATTAAAGCAATATCAAAGTCTTTTTACTTTGCTACACTCTTTACATACAAAAATTTATAAGAACCATTACAAGAAGTATCCTAAAAAAGAAAATATAATTTTAGAAAGAAAAGAACAAAACAATCACTTTTTTTTATCACAATAGAAACACATAAAAGAGACAAACTAATAGACATCAAACCTTATACGTAAGGCATGGCATTCGAAAATACATTGTACAATCAGATAAAAATAACATAGATGAAATTATGTAAAAACAAAAAAAAAAATTATAAAGAACCCAAAAAAATAACCAACGGTAGCAATAAGATAACGGGAAAAAAGCAAGATATGTTGAGATTGCTTACCTCATTTAATTTTACTATATTTTGTACAAATGAAAATTAAAAAAAGCATGCCCACCAACATTTGAGAAAAAAAAAAAAACAAATTTAGAAAGCAAATAACAAAATAAGCACCTTCTCTAGCAAAACATTAACAATAAAGAAATAGGTAGCAAACCAATAGACATCAATCCTTGTAGAGAAGTCTTGCTATTAAAAAATGTGTTACAAAACTAAATGGAAAAAACAAAAATGAATTTATGTGAAAGCAATCAACAAGAATAATGAGAAAACGGGAGAAAATATAAATAATTAGTAAAAGAGATGTTAAAAAGGCTTATCTTGGAATAAAATGCAATGGCCTAGAGGAGCCAAATAGGTCAACACGAGATGAATCCAAGTAACGTGATGCAAAATTTAGAGCAAGTAATAATCATTTAGGTCCCAGCAAGATAGATCCATAACAAGACACCATCTAATCATACCGAATGGACAAACAAAAAAAACACCCATACAATTAAGATTGATTGGAAGGATGAAAAAAAATAAATAAGAGCCAACAAAATCTAAAGGGAAATAGTTCATCTCAAAAGATAAAAATAATAGCTAGACCAAAATAGAAAGATAAATTCAAAATGTCTAATCTACAAAAAGCAACCCGCTCCGTAAATGAAAGAAAAAAATGATGGAAATATACAAAGTTTAAAATTCAAGCTATAAGAGCATTAAATGCTTCGTCAAACCTC